ACTTTCCTTCTGAAGGAAGGCGTGATCAGAGATGTTATGCCTCAGAACATCCCGGCGGCGCCAACTGGGATTGAACCCAGGCCTGCTGGGGTGAGAGGTAATCACGCTTACCACTACACCACCGGTACCGATATTGAAACTATCATAAATAACGTTAAAACCAAGCTGATGCAGAAATTTAAAATGATCGACATGAAGGAGTTACACCATTTCCTCGGGATCAAAATCGAGACGGATTTGAATCATGGACTAACAAAGCTGCCCCCGACTAGCCAGATAGAGAGAGTGATTGATTCGTTTTGGTATAGAACATTGTAATCCCGTTAAGACGCCAGCTGAACCAAGACTGCAGTTGAGTCGAGAGACTGGGTGTTGTGAATATCCCTACCGTAAACTCATAGGAAGCTTGATGGACATCATGATGGGTACACAACCCGACCTATGTTTTGTCGTTGGATACTTGGCAAGGTTCTAGGATGCAGCCGGTGATCAACATTGGAAGCACGCCAAAACGAGACGAAAGATTTGAAATTGGTCTACTGGCCACAGGAACCAGTAGTTACTACCTACGTGGATGCGGATTTTGCCAGTGACGAAACTGACCGCAAGTGCGTGTCTGGATTTTTGTTGAAGGTGTATAGAAACATTGTTGCATGGTCGTCAAGAAATCAATCAGATGTCTTCAATTGACGCCGAGTACATTGCCACGAGTTCCTGTATAAGCGAAACGATTTGGATGACTGGCTTGATGACAGACCTTCAATATGCAGAGTTCCTGTTCCCGGTACCACTATTCGAAGACAACCAAGGAGCTATTGCAATGGCCGAACGAGAGGCGACGAAGCGAGCCAAGCACATCGACGTGAAGTTCCACTTCATCCGTGATGCAGTTGCAGAAGGTAACATCAAATTGATCTACGTTCCTAAGCGGAAACAACAAGTAGACATCTTCACGAAGTCTCTTTTCGCTCCTATTTTTACTGCTTACTGAATGATGATTGGACTGGAAGGAAATAACTGAGAGGGGGTGTTGGAAATCAAAGTAACATAAATTCACAGGGCAAGAGTATTTTGAAATATCCAGAGTGTTTTTCGGGAAATTGGTCATTCCGGCAAATGATTTTTTCGGGAAGTGCTATAGAATCAAGGAAAACCGTTGAACCCGAAAAATGTGAAGATCGGGCCGGGGAATCGAACCCAGCCGCATCCAGCATTGTCTTGCTTTACAGCTTCGTCTTCGTCTACCGACTGAGCTAAGGGAAACCCCTTCCTAAATATCTGTAATCTTTAAATACAGATACCGTACAGGCTAGAAATCCAGACACTTAGTCCACAAATCCAGACACTTTTAAAAGTTGATCAGCTTTGCCTGCTATCACATAACATATGTGGAACTGCATGCAAAATAACTTTCTAAAAGTTGACCCCTTTTTGTGTTGCCTCAGTGGTATAACTGGTATAGTTGGCCATCGATCTGTCAAAACAAAATTGTCGTGATATCGACACTGTGCGTTCATAAGGACCTAGGTCGAGAACGTAAACAATGGCTTCTTTCGTATATTTCTTGTAGTTCAAAGTCATTCCATGTAAGCCACCAATTCCATCGGATAGGAAGAGTCTCCCTATACACAGTTTACGTTTAGTTGACTTGAGTGGTTTTTCATTCTCGGGAAATTCGGAGTAAAATTTTACGTTTGCGACATTAGCTCTTATGAAAGAAAAGCAGATATTATATGCTTGCATGCTCAGTAAGCATTGACGTTGACGACGACCCTGTAACTCTTTACTCCTTGGTAAAATTCCATATTCATCTGAAAATATGTGCATGAAATCTAGCGGACTTTGTCTAATCTCTTCACTCCACCATAGAACCAGCGAGCCACCATCTCTTCACACAAAGCTTGATAGTATTTTATGCGATTTTAATAGGAGTAAAAAGGTAAGGAAATGTCCACCAGGTTTCACGCACAGACTGACGATTGCGAATGGGATTTTACCATAAGAGTAATACCCTGGACAGACTATGGCTTATATCATGTAATATAGGCTGTCTTGCAATGAGCACTCATACATAGGATTTCCAGTGAAAACTAGATGTATGAGTGCTCATTGCAAGACAGCTTATATTACATGATATAAGCCATAGTCTGTCCAGGGTATAAAGAGATAAAGAGTGAAGGCGAATTGTAAATTGCCAGGGTAATGCGCGATGTCAATCATACAAGGTCTGGCCCAACTGACTTATTGGTATTACACAGTTGAATGTGGAAGGTGGTGTTCGTATTTCACTAAGAGTTTATCTTTTTACACGAAACAGCTGTTGCCTGTGATGTCACATCTGCTGTTCGCATGCGACAAGCTACAGGCGGCGAACAGCAGATGTGACATCACAGGCAACAGCTGTTTCGTGTAAAAAGATAAACTCTTAGTGAAATACGAACACCACCTTCCACATTCAACTGTGTAATACCAATAAGTCAGTTGGGCCAGACCTTGTATGATTGACATCGCGCATTACCCTGGCAATTTACAACAGCATGCTGCCTGCTGTTACAGACCTTGTATGATTGACATCGGATAATGCGGCCTTTCTTTTTTCGACCAGCTCTACAGGCGGCTTATCAAAGGTTTTTTTTTTTAACTAGCATTTTCATGCCGGTCAGAAGCCAATCAAGAGCGTTATTAACCAGTAATATTGCATATTTACAGATGCAATATTTCTTAGTCTCTTTGACCTGATTGAATTCCATTCGATCCTTGCGTAAATTGCGATAGTTGAATGTAATTGAATGCAAACAATTCGAAGATTGTATGTTTGCGTTGAATATGTGTAATTAAACATTTTATATGAATAATATTGTTCACTGTGCTATTAGTAAGTCAATTTATGAGTGTGATGAAATATTCTGTTGACATTTATAAAAAAGTTGAAATTTTTCTACACGGCGAATGAGAACAACCCAAATTTGAGTTTAGTTCACTCATAATCGCCAAAAGTGCAGGAACTCAGCGATGAGTAAAATTTGTCTCATGGTTTCCTGTGGAAAACCTAAAAAATCTGCCGGAAAATGAGGAAATTGACGAAAATTTTATTCAGTCTCGGAGAAGTACCAATAGACTGAGTGAATCCAATCTTTACTTTTCTCAAATTCAGGAATTTTTCCCTGGAAAATCCTGGAAAAACCTGGGAAAACATGAGGCAAATTTACTCATCGCTGAGTTCCTGCAGATTTGGCGATTATGAGTGAACTAAACTCAAATTTGGATCGTTCTCATTCGCCGTGTAAGAAATCTAGAAACATAACTAGGTATGTGTACCAGTTTTAGGCCCTAGTGGTCGTAGAATTGACCGTATCATAAATTTCACATTTTAACATTCTTTCTAAATTTGTTTCGATACAAGGTAAGAACATATGTTTTGGCAGAAATCTACGCAAATAAAGCCATTAAAATTTATTTCAAATATGGCCCTAGGGCCAGAAACTGGACCACTAGTGCCAATACTGGTACACTTATCCTATGTAAAATAGAATCAAACGATTACTTTCGTTTGTAAATAGTGCTTGTTGTTGCTAGCAAATATAGCCGTTCCCTTCCTTTGCCTTTTCGATCAATCTTTCCACGTTTACAGTGCAAAATAATTGGAGTAGATCTTTTGCTCAAAACATTTTCAATTGGCCGCAGCTGAGAAGCATATGCAGGATTGAAACCTTGGTTATTACAGGTATCGATAAGCACTCGATTTGATTTATCGTTCTGCTAGCGAAATTCTTGAGAATGGAACGATAGTCAGCTCACAACACTGCATAATTTCCGCATAAACCGGGACACTTGTTGCAAAATGATGCTGATTCTCTTTGGACTTCAAAATGTGTACAGTTAACTCCTAATTTACTGGGTCGTATTTTTCCTCCTACGAATCCAAAATAAAATCAAACGTTGATGCAATTGGCTCCAAACATTAAAAAAAAGTTAAACGAAAAAAAAAATGGTGCATAACATTTTTCTTCTAAGAATACAAAAAGATTTAAGATTAGAAAAAGTATTGGCGTGGAGTTTCCCCACTTTTTTGCCATAACTACAGGAAAACAATACGGTTTGGTTTACAATGACATTTCAGGATTAATCGTTGGGTGGCAGGTCATTACATTCAAAATCGGCGAAAAATTTATACTTTCTTGATTGCAAACGTTAATATATTTGTTTGCTGTGTGACCCAAGGTGAGGAACTAGTTTTATAGTTATAAATGAAGGACGTAAATAGTTAAGGAAAAACCAAGACATAAGCTCAAAAGTTCTAAGAAGACAGAGAATTGTAAACCACGTTATAATTATTTTAATAGAATTGACTATACCTCATTTTACAGCTGGTATAATTAATTTGACAGATCGATGTATTTCTATACCCCTTGAAATCACTGAAATGGGGACGATTTTTGATTATTGAGTTCCACATATGTTATGTGCTACTATGCTCACGTAAATTTTATCATGGTCTTTTAGTTTCGTTTTGAATCTACACACATGTTTATTATGTTGCAAGAGTAGACGTAAATATTAAATGACGAATGATACGTCCGAATTAACGAGCCGTCCGGTATCCGGTGTTTTACGGTATCTGTATCAAAATATTTAGGAAAATCACTATGATTACAGTTAAATCTGTATGTGTGGCATCACTGTTTTTAAGAGTTAAATAAAAACAACATACTAATTTGGAAATTATCAATATACCGTAATCCTTAAAGCACTTAAACGCAAAATTTTACTGATAGAATAACAGTAAAGTTAGGATACCTATTTATGTTGATAATTTTAAGAAAAATGCATTGATTAGTAAACTGGATTTTACGATTTTTCGCCCCAAGTCCTTACGCCATTATTGAACATTTCTGCTGTAAAGGAACACCATACCCGGCAGATATCCATATTTTGTTTTTTTTTTTTTTTTTTTTTTTTAATAAAAATGACGCTAAGCCAGATTTTAATAAATATTTATTGTTCGTTTATCCGAGTTTACTCCAAAACTTTTTAAGTTTGCCTGGTTCGGTGACTTCTTGCACTTCCTCCTGAATGACCGGCACACGGATGGGGATTCGCACAGCATTAGTTTCCGGCTCGTACACATCCTTTTCGACAATTTCCTCCACCGGAACTTCCCTCAAGACCTTTACCACCTTAACGTGGGGGATCTCCTTGACAATCGGCACCTCCTTGATCACCTCAACTTCCCTGATGACTTCAACGGGAACCTCCACTCGCTTATGTACCTCCCTCTCCACCGGTACTTCTCGGATCACCTCCACGTCACGGAACACTTTGACCTCGTTTATCACCGGAACCTCTTTGATGACCGGAACCTCGTTCACATGCTGCACTACTTCCTCGACGGGCACTTGCTTTACCACCGGAACTTTGACTTCCTTCACCGATTGGATTTTCTTTTCCACGTTGCGAATTTCAGGCGAGGGAATCGGGATGGGGATAGGCATAGAGACTGGTACGAAGTTGGCCTCGCAGGCTAAGAAAAAAAGGCATATCAGTGCAATCTGATATCGGAAATGATGCATTAGTGGAATGTTTAATTTGTCGGATGCTCGCAGTACTTACAACTCTCATTTTCGTGCTTTTGCGTTCCACTGTGTTACGCGGAAATGTTACGGTTGGACTAATACCTGATACGCCGGGAAGGTAGCTTTTATACCAGCGACGGTATGGGCTACTGCAAAACTGGTTGATTCCCGAAGATGGGTCAGCCTGAACGGTCAGCAATTTTGGGTTGACTGGTTTTCCTCACGTAAGAGGCATTTGAAGAATGCCTGTACCTAATTCCGTAATCGAATTTTGGTGTGATTACTCAATACTTATGTGGTGCGGTAGGGCAAGTGTCACAATGCGAAAAGTATATCGATGGCATTTCGTTGTGCAAACTTTGTCTATTTTTTTTTACGATTGCGTGATTTTACGTAATGCAAAAAGTTTTCCGAACTGCATTCATAACATTCTGATGCAATCTCTAAAAATTAGATGCTGATGATAAGCGATTATATGGAGAAAATTTAGATAATTCGAATTCTTAGAATTGTACAGGAATCTTTTTTCAAATGTGAGATTGCAAAACAAAAACAACAGAAAGCATTTCCTGCTGGTTTTTGGAATGTTATGACATGAAATGATTTCAATCATGAAGAAGAAACAAATGTTCATAAAAATAATGAACCTATCTATGATAGGTTTTCTTACTCTTACAAAGTGTGGGGCTAAAAGCTTCAAATATTTCTTTGCCTGCTTAAAAAAAACAATATTGCAAAATCAGATCGGAAGATTTTTTTAAGTATGAGTCGTACGTTTATCCAACGAGGCTTGTCGAGTGATTGCATATGAAAGTCCTTGTTGAAGACCAAACTTTTCGATCAAGTAGGTCGTGAAATATGACTGTCATAAATTGTCAAGTTGTAACCGTTTGGTCACAAGTTCATAGGTTTTTGCTAGGGTTTTTGTCATTTATGTTATACTAGCTGAGTGTGCCCGGCCTTGCTCGGGATTCAATATTAACTTGAGTTTAAGCGCCAATAAAAAAAGCATGCTATATTGTACGTAGCCCCCCCCCTTCTTATCTAAGGGGCTACCCCCTATGACCCACATGCCAAATTTGGTTCCATTTGCTTGATTAGTTCTCGAGTTATGCAGAAATTTCTGTTTCATTTGTTTGGGAGCCCCCCTTTACAGAGGAAGGAGGGGTCTCAAACCATCATAACCTTTCCTTGCCCCAAAAACCCCTGCATACAAATTTTTACGCCGGTCGGTTCAGTAGTTTCCGAGTCTATAAAGGGTCAGACAGACAGACAGACAGAAATTCATGCTTATATAGGGTAGAGAACTACTTCGGCCTAATTGCCCATTTTGGGCCTATCGAACAGAAAACTTCAAATAAATCCATGATTTCAGAGTTAACAAGTCAATTATGCGTTTGGTACGATACTTTAGTTAATAAGCTCCGGAACGAAGTCAATGAGAACGCATGACATGAAGGTTTGCACCCATTATTCCCAAAAACAAAAGAAGCTCTCCGACCGAATCAATTTTTATCTTCATCCGATAGGCCGAAGTGAATTCATTGGCGTTTCAAAGGCGTTTCAATGCGTTAGGCCAAGTTTAGAATCCGTATGCCGAGTTTGGCGTCAAGAAGCAGTGTTAGACTTTTGACAATATCTCAACGATTGGTTTCTCTTTATCAAATTTTACGGTACATACGGAAAGGTAAATAAATTTGGAAGCCATCAGTAATTATAACATTCCGTTTGGTGCTAAACTGCGCTAGATTAAACAATATTAAGTGCGGGTTGTGCTTAATAGGCCGGAAATGGGGTATTTAACCCTATATATAGATATTCAGAACCTTCACGTTTCTTGTGCAAGAACAGCAGTATACCTCAGAAGTGATAGGGTTCTGTACCGCTGTGAAAAAGTTGTGCCGTTACGTTATGTCCACGATAGAACTACAAACAACCATACAAAACTAGGATGACGGGATGAAGAAAAATTGGAAGAAAGAATGGCCATTGTCCAAAATCGGCCTCTTTTAACATCAGGTGTCCATGTGCTAAGACGCATTTTAATTAGCTAAGTGCAGTGGATAGTGTTTTTGAACGAGAACCAGGACCCCCCTAGCAGCAGCTAGTGTACGCTAGGGAAATTTAACGTTCAGGACCTCCTTTATGTTGGATCTTAAAAAGGCCATCCGTCAGCACACGGCCGGCTCGTGAAATTGGAAACAGTTTCCGAGCCTAATTGTCAAAGACCAAACACTATTATCTGGCCAAACGTAGGCCATAATCCCAAAGGAATTTTACCTTGTCGGCTTGACCAAGGTGGCCTTGCCACGGTCGGCCGATCGTGCCAACGAAGGACGACGCCTGCCATCCCACCGTCCAACAACGCCCGCTGGCTCGTCATCCGCTCACTTCGCCAATCTGGCGAGAGTTCCGGCCGCACAGTAGGACAGGAGTCACTGTGTTGGCCATGTCGATTCACCATCAACGGCAGCAGCGGTATGTACCGGTACAGTGAACAACGCGATTAGGCTACACGACACATATTACACGAAATTATGAACACAGAACAACACGCACTTAATACAGAAAGTGACGAATAAATGCATTTAAAAAAAAGTGAAAGTTCTTCGTTTTTGTATCACGAAACCCTCTGCCCGGTAGCTAGCCGAAAAACAAATGGCAACAAATTATCAAACAATGCTCAATTATTTAGAGAATTTTAGAAATATTCTTAAAAATCTCAGAATTTTAAAATGTATCCAAGTTAAAAGTAAATTATTGGAAGGACACTAGGCCGAATTGATAGATTGAGCTTGGCAATTTTTTTAGAAAACAATGAGACTTACTTTGAATACTCAGACTGAAATGTTGGTCGAAGATTGCAAGACAACATTTTTTAAGATTGAGCCTAGCCCAGTTTTTCGCATTCTTGAACATTGTGAGTTTTTAACTTTAAATATTGCGTAGTTTAAAAATTGCAGATTTAAAGAAATCATCATGGCTAATATAAAGAAAGAGAGAAGGATTAGTAATTTCCATTTAATTCCACTACCTTACTTGCTTATCCTTCACAGATACGCGTATTTCATCTACAATACGCAGACTTCTTCAGTGTCTTGGTCTTCAGTGGCATTAGCATTACTAATCGTTTTTTTCTCTTTCTTTAAACAGGTATTCCACTAAGACACCCACATTCATCAGGATAAATCATGGTTCTTGGACTTGAACAAAATTTTCATATTCTGGCACTATGAAGCATGATGATAATGCCAAATGCGTTTTGAGGATAGTTCAAAACTGTACCCAGGATTTTTGTTTAGGTGGCGAACTCTCAGTTTTGCGCCCCTCCCTACCCTATTCTACAGCTGACCAGTTCCAGACCAAATAAGATAAATTAATAAAAACAATAAGACTCGACCTTTTTCCGATTTGCAAAATCATGTATTATGGGGTTTAGTGGCGCTGGTGGTGTAGTGGTAAGGGTGATTACCTCTCACCCCAGCAGACCTAGGTTCAATCCCAGCCATTTTGGATCTTGTATTTTTTTTAATGGCGACTTTGACATTTTTCTATAATTTGTAGCACTAAAACGTCACCTCTGATCGAAGTCGTCTGAAGTTCTTTGGAAAAGGAAAGTAATTCTGGAAATTCTCATGAAAAATGCAAACTTTAGCATTTTTTAAAACCATGCACACTTGAAAATTGCCAAAGTCGTAAAAGATCAACTTTTGTTCATATTTTTAAGCTTCTTGTTAACAAGCTTTCTTATGTAATTTTTGCATAGTCAACGATTTAGAATGTCTCAAATATTGTTTTCTGTGTAGAAATTACATAAAAAAGCGTACTAACAAAAAGTTCAAATATTTGACCAAAAGTTCTTGTTCAACGATTTTTGTCAGTTTTCAAGTTTTTTTTAGATTTTATTATAGAGATTTTTATCGGAAGGCTAGTTCATTTGTCAATTTTCAAGTGTCCATGGTTTAAAATATTCCCATAAATCAAAAACATTTTTTTTCTCAAAAGGACGGCTTCGAATTTTTCGATCAGAAATGGAACTTCGGATCCATATGATTTTTGTGAACACTAGCGCACCTAGTGGTATACTACACCGTTCACATTACAGCCTATATCACGTAATATAGGCTGTCTTTCAATGAGCACTAACCCATAGGATTTCCAGTGAAAACTAGATGTATGAGTGCTCATTGTAAGACAGCGTATATCACGTGATATACGCTGTAATGCTTTGCCTGCAGTTTACGGGAGCAACACCGCCGCTAGTGTGCGTGCGTTAAACGTCACTAATCTCTATAGGATTTGACGTTTTGGTGCCTCTGATTCAATGGCAAAATTAAGAGGTTGCTTCGATATGTTTAAAAAATGTGCCTCAGTCAGAGCTAGTAAATATCACGGCTGTCATGTGACAATGAGAAAATAGGTCCTCTAACTATCACGAGACGAAGCGACCGATCATTAGCTTTCTTGTCATTTTCCAATGATCAAACACTCATGAGAATAATTCTTATCCGGTTTTGGCATCAACATTTCTAGCTGATTTAGCTGAATTTATGCAAGTAACACCCCGTTCACATTACAGCCTCACGTAATATAGGCTGTCTTGCAATGAGCACTCATACATAGGATTTCCAGTGAAAACTAGATATATGAGTGCTCATTGCAAGACAGCGTATATCACGTGATACACGCTGTAATGTGAACGGGGTATAACCAACCGGTGGAAACTAACGATTTATTATTGGCTCACTACTTGACTAGCCTATTGGTCCCAAGCAAATCGGTTAACGTACCCCATTCCAGTCGAAATTCTAGAACTACACTATGTTTGTTTTGATTCGCTATAAAAGTATGACAAATAATACCCCGTTCACATTACAGCGTATATCACACTGCAATGAGCACTCATACATCTAGTTTTCACTGAAAATCCTATGTATGAGTGCTCATTGCAAGACTGCCATATTACGTGATATAGTCTGTAATGTGAACGGGGTATAAAATGAGGGGTTCGTGGATTTTCCTATGTTTCGAGGGGTGCATCGGTTAGCTTGGGACCGAAGATAGTACTAAAGCTGAGTCAAAAAGTTGAGGACTTTTCTTAGTCTTAGAGTTACCTCTATGGTATAACCAATCGGTGGAAACTAACGGTTTTAAATTGGCTCACTACTTGACTAGCGTATTGGTTCCAAGCAAATCGATTAACGTATCCCATTTCAGTCGAAATTCTAGAACTACACTAAGTTTGTTTTGATTCGCTATGAAAGTTTGACCGATAAAATGAGGGGTTCGTGCATTTTCCTATGTTTCTTGGGGTTCATCGATTAGCTTGGGACCGAAGAGAGTACCAGAGCTAAGCTAAAAAGTTGAGCACGTATCTTCGGAAACTTCTAGTCTTAGAGTTACCTCTATGGTATAACCGTATGTAATCGGTAGAGTGAATATATTTTTAAGATTTCCTCGGTACAAGTAACTGAGCAATACATGAGCTAGTAATC